AATAATAAATAAATATCAACATTTTAAAGTACCTATTGAAGGATGCATCATAAAAATACAGTAAGTATGGTATATTACAGGCTATTATAATTTACAGGAAAGTTCTTTCAACACCTATTGGTAAACACGTATAAAAGTATGGGCTCGACTTTTCTAGGTACTCTAAATTATAAAATACATTCCTGTAATACCTTGAAATGGTAGTCAAGCAATTGATGATTAAAATTTAAATTATTAATAACATTCATATTTATTAGTATTAACTCTTAGACGGTAAGGTACTGTATGACATAAGTTGGCAATAAACAACTGTACTTACGTTATACGTCACTTACGTTATCATGATCTATATAACTATCTATATATATATTGTATAATATAATGTATAATATATATTGTATAATCATGATCTATATAACTATATAATATATAACTGGCTTATTTATTTTATGCTCTGAATAAAAATTTGTGCACATACAGGTGTGTAAAATGATACGATTTTTCCAAGTTATTAGACTACCTTTTCAAGAAAATTTTTTTCGAAAGTGTCAATGCCATTTAATTATATTAAACTATTTGACACGTTATTATTAATGGTAGAACTGTCAGTTAAGTTTTCTGCGTAATTGCAAACGAGTCGCACGATTGCTGCTTACTCATTCATTATACAGATAACCTTATAAAAATACGCTGGATTGTTTTTTACTCTAAATTACAACATATATGCGTCCTTCTATGTACACACACTACATAAAGATGAAACCATTCACAGTTCCCTTGGCTAAATATACGTCTCCATAATTTGTTGCTATAATAAAATTGCTGCACATAGAATATGATATCATTATCGGGTCTCTTATCAATGGTGACTAATACGCGCAAAAATATAGTGAATCAAGTGAAAGTCCAATGCTTTGAGCTTATCAGTATGTTTTAACAGCCGGTTACTGGAAGAAGCAGTTGTCTGATTGGTTGCCTGATACGTAACGTATATGAATTTTTGTTTTTTTCAAACGATAAGTGGCGTCATGTATTCAGTTTGCACTCGTCAGCCTCATCCTCTGCATCGATACACGAATACGGCTGCTGGCACTATCTTAATAATCAAGTAATTTTTTTCTTCTTATTTTTACCTAAAACTGTATTTATTTTGCTGTGAGTAGAAGAACCAAAAACCAACGATGTATAAATTGTTCACATATATTTTATAGTGGCTAAACAACTGTTATACAATTTTGAAAACTACATTAGCTTATATTTTGACGATTAATTGCATTATAATTTCTGATTTCAAATTGATGTATAAGCACATCAAATTAAACTTCCATTATGATTATCTCAAAACAATGGAAAGCGAAAAAATGTTGTGTTAGTAAAAATAACACTAAAGATTAACCGGATTTCAATTCAAACCAACAGTAAAATGTAAACAACATTGTGTTCAATTATATTGAGGTAACAAAACCCAGCAAAATTTTACGTACAATTCACTTGTACGTATAGTAAAAATTGGAATGAACAGTATGCTGTGTTCAGTTACAACGCAAAAATTATTATTGTTATGTCTTTATTTTAGTGCTTTTAAGCTACTCATCGAATATCAAAGCTGCATAATTTAGCAGTTCATTTTTTTATTTTAACATTATTTCGAGTTTTGTTATACTCATTTAGCGTAGACATTGATTTTTGTACTCAGTATAACAACGGATTATTATTATTATTATTATTTTTTTTTTTTATTACAACTACACAAATACTAGTACATAAGAAAAGATGCTTCAACCAAACTCTTATCTTAGATCTTTGAACTATTCTTTTATGACACAAATTATTACTTTGCGTGGTCGTAACATTTTCCTCGTATGATATAAAAGACTTATCGTTACCTTCAAATAAGTAAAAAACTTTTGAAGATATTGTTTTCGTAGTTTTATTTTTATGAGAGTGCGGTATGGATTAAGTCTTTTTACAACATAATTTTTAATTTTCAAGAATACAGTGGTATCTATATGATTTCAAACTACTTTTTTACTTTTCTTCGAGCTTTTCTTCTACCGAATAGTCAGTAAAATAAAACAATTTTATAAGTTGTAGACCATTCTTGCTACATTTGTTGTGAAATTATGTATTCAGGCTTAAGTAAAATATAAAAAACTAGATCGAATGTTTTTAGCTTGAATGTTTCTCTAGAATCTGAGATTTTAAATTAGCTTGGTAAGTAATTTCAACAGCGTATTTATTAAGATTAGGAAAAAGGAGAAAAGATCCAGAGATAGATCTAGTAATACTTTTTATCGAAGAGTTATCAAGAAATTATTTCAAGTACTTTAGAAATGCCGTAAGTAGACTCGATTTGGCAAACTTTATGCTACAAGGCTTTACATATACATCAAAAAGCAATTATCTTCAAAAATTTTTTAAATAACTTGGATATCACCATTAAATAACCAAAAAATATTTGTAAATGAGGTCGAGTACTGATTTAAAAAAAAATTTTTGCATGGTTTCGCAATTTCAGATGGCAGGATATGATTCAATTCACTTATCTCCACTAGATAAGCCTCGAAAATTGACAAATGTCAAAGCTCTTATACTTTTTTCTGCCTATATGGTAGCTTATATTGGTACTGCTATTTACGGTACGTAATATTTTATGCTATTATACTTTGTTTAATTCAAACATTTTTGGAATTGTAGAGTCAAAACGTAATCTGTTTATAAACAATATTAATACACTTTTAAAATACTTTTATTACTAATGGTTTTGACGCTACTGGAAATTGTTTAAAGAAATGAAAGTAGTACAAATGGAATATTTTGAATTTACAGCAGCAACATTTTTTTTAAAAGTTCTTTTTCAACTCACGTGACATTTAATTTTCAGCATTCATAAATGGTGACACCACAGAGTTTAAGTCAGACAGTACGATTCAAAATTACATTATTAAAATTACGAATGAAATAATCAACTCAAAGTAATTTGTTTTATGAAGTATCGATGTAGTAAGGAATATATAAATGAACTTCTTATCATATACTTTTTTTTAGATGGCTTATTCTTGGCTCATTTGCATTTTCCATACTTTCTACGGCAGTGTCTCTATTTTTAATAAAAAGTCTATCAAAAATCATAATCCTCATAGCCTTGGTTTTTGAATGTTTGGCTGCAGTTGGTGCCGTTTTAGTTCTTATAAAAAGTTTACTTCAGTTTGAAGTACGAAGTTTTCTTTATCAGATTATTCAAACAGCCTTTAGTTGTTGGATTTTATATGTTACATTTTACATGGTATCAAGAATAGGAACTCTATTTATGAGCAAAATTATACGCGAAGCCTGCAGGTAAAGCATTATTTGATGATTTATTGTAGTCCTGATATCGTAACAGAAAAATATAAATTATTTTTTATTTTAGGGCTGTTTTTCAGTTTCCTCTTGCAATCATGTTATCCATACTATTTACAGTACTTGTATTCATGATAGAAGCATTAGGATTTTCCGTATATGTTTACTTATCTTCCATAGACCATACTAAGTCTTCTTCATTTTTACTGGCACTTCTGCACGGCCTGAACGTATATGGTACGATATGGCTTACGGTAATGATAGTTTTATTCTGGCAAATGGTTCTCTATGGTACATTCGGAACATGGTTCTGGACTAGGAATAAGTCAACAATTTCGAGTGACACAGCCTTCAAAAATTTCGTTACAATTTTCAGGTAAAATAATATTTTT